CCCCCCCCCCCTCATTTGAATCCACCGCGCGAGGCCTCTTTTGTCCACGGTGCTGCCTCTGCTTTGTGCGCCCAAAGTGGAGGCTGTCGACGTGGACCAGCAAAAGAGTTTTTTTGCTCACCTCGGGCCCGGCGTGGCGTTCGGGCGCCCTCGGCGACTCGTCAATTGAGAGAAAAGCACTCCCACCCCCCTGAAAACATCCTCCTGAATGGAGCAAGCTTTACTTTGCGGTGCGTGTGATCTTCCGACCTGCATACAAAGGCCTCCATTGATGAGGGCAATTGGAACTCAGCCACGTTCATGTCCTCGGGAGAAAAAAAAATAGAGCCCACAGGTTTTTGTTCGTGCGTGAGCTACATGCTGTAAACGCGAGTGTCGAACATCCCGTGCGTTTGTGACATTGAGCGGGCGATCCCCCCAGTCGTCCGCACGACCGTATTTGGTCCACCGATGAATCCCGGGCTGTCTGTTCGGAAGCCCGTTTGGCGACTTGCCGCGAAACGGCCCCCTCCAGACCGCGCACGAGGTGGTCCTTGATGGCCAAGACGATACGGGGGAAGCACATTCTTCTTGACTCGGTCTATAGTTCTTACTTTCAAAATGCGACTAAAAAGCATCACAAAAGGTAAAAACCATACTTCTATATTGTCATCATATTGACAGGTGACTTTGCGATCGAATGCATCGGCCCCGGCGCTGTGTCGTCCTTTCCCAGCTGACCCCAAACGACGCCCTGACCGACCCCGGTGTGGAATGCGCGGCCGTAAATGTATTTGGAGTCTTTTGAACCCTCTCCTCTGCCTTTCAGTTGCCCCCGCCTCCTGTGCGCCACGCCAGGCAAACGCAGCAGATGTGTGAGCGGCGACACCCTCAACAGCTGTCGGCTCCTCTTCCCCTTTTGACCCCTCGCGTAAAGATTTTCTTCTCACGACGTCGCCTGACTCCAAGGTGAGGAATTCCCCTTTCTTGTGTGCTGTGTGTTTGAAAGAAAAGAAGAAAAAAAAACCCAAGCGATATTCCATTGGAACGCAAAAGTAAAACCGCCCTTCAAAAGTCAACTTTTTAATCCGCAGGGTCGAGTAAACGCGGAGTTGTTGAGATTGTGTGGTCTGTTGGCAATCAAGCCAGCAGTGAGTCTCAAAGGATGGCCCACAAAATTAAACATTCCATCTGGGTAAAATGTAGGAGCATGCTTTTTAAAAAAAAAAAATTCTTGAATTCTTGTGTAAAGATAGAAAACTCATTCTTGAGTATTTTTTGGCCTGCGGTACTGAATTTGAAACACTGGAAAAGCACGGCACCACATGTCACGTGGCAATCAAAAACCAACGAGCAGTGAGGCACGCGCTGCCGAGCGCTAATGGAGGCCGCAAAGGACCCGTCGGTCGGCAGCTCGGGAGCCACGCGAGGCTAAATGCGCCCATGAGCGAGTGGTAGTCAGAAAAGAAGTAGCGGCTAGGCTAATGCTAGCAGCAGCTAACACGAGTAGCCCCAAAACACACGTGGACAGTCGCCCGAAAGTGAGCGAGGCAGGCGCATGCTCTCTCAAGGAGCTCCACAATGACACGTCGGCGGCGGCTCGGGAGCCGGGCTAGCGCCGCCGCGAGCAAAATGCCTCACGCCGAACTACAAGCGGCACGCCACGTGCTCTCGCGGCTATTGCCGCGTTTCCGTCGCGCTGCGGTCGGCACGCCGGGCTGGGCTCGCTCCGGACGGTTCCGACGCGCTGTTCTTCAAAGGAGCCCCAGCGGATTCTTGGGCGACCATTGTACAGTCAAACCTCGGTTTTCGACCGTCTCTCGTATTGACCGAATGGGATTTTGACCGGAAAATGAGAGATTTTTCCACACAGGATTATGACCGAAAATCGATTTTCGACCAAATTGAGCCAACCCAAATACGCCACTCGACTCCTCTTGGCTTCCTCATGTCGCGTTCATTGTGAGCAGACGTGTTTGTTGTGATTGAGGCAAATCTGACTGCTTTTTTGTTATTTCTGCATCGTGTATTAGCCCCTCGTCACAGGCTCATAAAATAGTTTTGGATTTCGAACAAATGGCTTTCCGAACGGCCTTCTGGTGGAAAACCGCGGCACGGCTGCATTTCTATTCATCAAGCTGTTGCGCCATTCCTCTTCCTGCCGCCGTCCACACTTGTTGCCGCTTCCTTGATCAGTCCAACTCCACGTAAGCTGGTCTCTTCCTGGCAGCTCATCCCTCGCCGCGTCCGTCCGCGCTCCAATGCGCTTAGCGGCCGGCTTCGAGCAAGCTTCTCTTGTCTTCTCGGCCTTTTGCTCAGCTCCCCGCTCGCTAAACACGCTCCGGCCTCGGAAGCTGTGCTCGGACCCCCTCGCCCCTCCCCCCGCCCCGCCCTCGGGGCCCAGCTGCTGTCGCCTTCGCAGCCGTCCCGCTCAGCATGAGAAGCCCGGCAGCTGTTGATCAATGGGCAGCCGGAGCCAACGCCTGCCTGACAACAACACACACACACACAGATGCAGGCGCACACAGATGCAGGCGCACACACACACCCACACCCACACCCACACACACACACACACACACACACACACACACACACACACACACACACACTCCCCTGGGACGCAACAGATGGGGGGCAGCCAGCTGAGAGGCCGTGGCGGGCCACAAAAGAGCTGGTTGAGGTGTGTCCGAGTGTACCTTTGCACTCACAGCAGTAGATGGGGACATGTCCAACTTTTGAGGTGACACGGGGGTGGGGGTGGCAATTCAGCGTGCGCCCGTAAATGCCACGCGAGCAAACATTCATGACTTGTTTCATCGAATGGAAGCGAATCCAATTGAATGGAATCCTCTTGGACCCACGGTCGCCAAGTGTCGCTCGCGCGCCGCTTCGGCTCACGGCGCGGTTGGGAACAGAGACGATCGAGTTTCCTCAAGCGCCGCTCATTGGAGCCGTTTTGAACGATTTGCCAAACAGAATCGGCGAGTTGAATTCCTCGTTTGTTTCTGACTTAGCGCGTGAGGAAAAAGGAGCCCGTCGGCCAGAGAATGATCACGTCGGCGCTTCTTTCCCCATTCTCCGACTTTTGCCACATTTTCCATGTAAACAAATCCCACTGAAGCGAAAGGAGACGCGGTGGCGACGATTGCTTTTATTTTTCCCACCGCTGCCGTTGAGCGTCGGCATCCAATTTCTCCTCAAATGGTTTGTTTGATTGGGGACTCAACAAGCCACCCGAACCCCAGGTGGTGTTTTGCAAGTTGTTTTGCCGACTGTCAACTTCGGGTTCTCCAGGCTCCCCACTTTGAGTCCCACTGCGGTCGATGACATTGTGCGGAGATTGGGGAGGGGGCCGAGGGGGACCGGACAGTTGCCGGCGTGGACAGGTGTTGGCGTCGGCGTCTTCCTGACTCGTTTCGCCAGCTGCTGTCACCCCCCCATTGCCCCCAGCACCCTTTCCTTGACAGAGGTAGAGCACACCACCATCGGCTTTTTATGGGCCCGGCCTGTTTTGACTTGAAATATTTGCCCAGGAGGCGCTTGTTCTGTTTGGGGGAAGCACTGAGGTCACGCTTTTGCAAGCCCACGTGCGCGCGCACCCACACACATCTTCTTTGTGTGTGCGTGTGTGTGTGTTTACATTCTAGTGGTCGAAA